GTTGTCTAAAAATAAATTTTATTAAATTTGATATCATAATATGCATACGAGACATATGAGACAAAGAAAATAAACATAAATTTGTAAAATTGAAAAAACTGACAAATAATATTATAGTGTTTTAAAATGAATTACTCTTTCATGACAATTATATTCTTAATTATATATTCAAATATTAATATATTATTTTATAATTTTAAGTAAATCAATAATAATCCTAACACATGATGTATAAGTGAATTAAAATGTTTAACAATACATCCAAGTACGATGAAACTATAAATATTTATAATGCAGAAATGTAATATTTAAGTTTTAACAACAAAATGAAATGCAAACACATAATCCCTACTTTTAGATTGAAGTACAAAATATTTGTAAGAAATTCTTACGGGATTTTATTTTAGTTTAGATAGGTACTATCACGCTATATTGTTAATATTAAAAGATTACTTTTTATTCTAATGATCTAATATTCGAATTACTTTTTATTTTAAGATTCCTGTAAATTATTTTATTAAGCAAATGCTCATATACCTTTGTTCTCTTTCCATTACATCACAGGTGTCATCTGTTACTTTCTTTCTTCTCTCACTTGGGCGAATATACCATAAAAAAAAGACACTATTATTGTTTATTTTGTTAACTCATGTCACATCGCTGCTACAAAAAGTACTTTTCGTCACATGATTAGAAATAATCGTTCACGTGTAGGTCCTATGTATGACCTCACAACCTCAAGTTTTATGCCACTTGTTTCTCTGTTACACGAAGGAATGAAGAAGATTACGCAGAAAGACTCAAAAACTAATACTAAGAAACAAGATGCATGGATTCCTTCCATTTTCCAATAGCTAGAAATATTTACATATTCCACCAAGATGACAAACCCTATTCATGATTTTCGTCACTCGATAATGCTACACAGATTTACAAAACAAAAGATAAAAAGGAAACAACATGATAAAAAACCTACATCGTACTTCCAACAACCTGGGGCTTCTTTAACCCACCACACTGCACGTACGTAAACGTGTTTTCCTCTTCCTAGAGCTAGAAATTGAGCCAAAAGAACATAAAGAATACCACTTTCTAGGGCATTCATTACTGTTTTTCCCTACCTCGGTTCACCAACCAACAATTTTCGAGGGTTGAGAACTTTATTCTATGACTATATACGTAGCTAGTAACATAGAAAAGTTTAATATGAAAATTATATATGAAGTGTGAATGCTTTGTTACTTGGTTTTTACGACGAAGCGTTTTGTAATATATTATTAATGTGAAAGCATGGAGTCTAAAACAAAATCCCACACAGATCCGAAAGAGTGGCCATATGGGCAATAGCTTCGGATTTAAGATGATCGTTATGTAGGGATAGAAGGAGGTGTTGGTGCATGGTCGAGGCGAGTCGGTTTTTGAGAAACCGGTTTTGGATTCTCAACCGCTTCAGTTGGCTCGTCAGGTTCTCAAGATGCTTCTTCTTTCTGTAGCGGGACCTTCGGGCCGATTCCCGGTTCGATTGCATGCGTCTCAGCTTTCTTTCCTCGGACGTGTAAACCGTCCGGTTCGATCCCTGCGAACCGGAGCCCGGGCTGGGCCGGTCTATGGATTTGTTTATGAGAGAAAACAGGTCTTCTATATCACTTTGCGTCAGCATGGTTTGGTGAACCGGAGAAGACGGGAACTGAACCGCTTCGTGGAGCAACATGGGTTAGAAGAAGAAAATAAGAAAGAGAGAAGAGAAACCGGGAAATTCAAAAGAGTGAACCGAAGGGAGGAAGGAAGGGGAAAAGGGAGGAATGGAAGGATAGGAGAGGGGTATTTGAAGGAGTGGAAAAGGAAAATGTGGGGCCCATCAGTGCAAAAGATTCTGGAAAACTAATTTCACAGAAAATATTAATAATTTTTTAATGGACGTAAGTAGGTTTTGATGCTAACCTTTCATAAAAAAGTGATTGATCAATATAATTAGGGTTTTTTATGCTAAGTTTTTTTTTTTTACTTGAAAAAATAAAAACTGTGGAGAGAAGGGATTGAAGTAAAGTTTAGTGTGTGGGAGTGGGAGGTGGAGAGATTCAGATTGGGTAACCTTTTTGCTAAGGTAACAAAATGAAGATGATGTTCTTTGAAGAGATTAGCTTTATCTTAATGACGAAGGATCAAACAAAAACATATAAACAACAAACTTGATTAGAAAGCTGCCCAACACCAAAATTACACGTTAATTTTAATTAGAAAGCAGTGGTGAAAGTGTTTTTTAAATAACATATATCTAACTTCTGTCCACAAAGAAAAAAAAAACGAAACCATGTAATAAAAATTAATATTCGAATGTGGAGTAAATTCACTATTTTTGAGAAAAGAAAGACGGTATTGGTCTACGTAGTTTTAATTTTTTTTTTTCATGCCAAACCTACGTATTTATTCGTTAGTTACAGGCTACAATCACTTTGAGTTTACACTAACAAAACTTAAATTGAGAAATGTTATACATTTATGACATATAAATTTGTGTAAAGTGTGATAAACACATGTAAAAGTGGAGATGAAAAGTGCAAAAAGTGGAGAAGGAAGAAACGGAACCAATCTTACTTTATGATAGTAAAACCATTTGATTTTGGTCGATTGACTGTGGAAATAATTTTATACCATGAATACACAAAGCACATTGTGGCACCATTTTAAAAGTTAACAGCTTGAAAGCTTTAGTTATCATGATAACATGACATTTCCGTATTGAATAATTTGGAAAAGGGTTCCCGAGATATAGTGTAAACGACCAATGGAATCTCTAGAAAAAAAAGTAACAGTATTGTGGAAATGACAGGGACGTAAACAAAAATACACAAAAGAAAGTGTGTGGGGGTGAAAATAAAAAAGTAGATATAATAAAAAGGGAAAGCAAAAATCACTATTTATGTTTTGCCATTAGTGTATGTAAAATTTAAGTAGTTTTGGCATTAGGGTTTCCAAAGTAATATGATGAGGCCTAAAACCGTGATGGAGAATGCTGTATATATGTGTAAGTTGATGTGAGAGTTTGAAGTTATTTGATAGACAATAGAGAGGAATATTCTTGGGTAGTTTTCTTAGTTGAGTATATGGGGCAATTTTGTAGTGGTTGGTAGTTGGTTCCCTTGGACTATTAGCAATATTAAAGCACCAGTGTTGAGTGGGGGATAACATGCAATCACTTGGGTTGCCATTTTGGTTAATCTTGATTAATTAAATGAAGGGAAAAGATAATGAAGCAATCGCTTTTTTTAGCTTGCTAAAGTAGCTTGCATGTGCATCAATGCAAGTAAATGTAATGGAAAGAAGAATAGTACAATTTAGGTGCTTCTCCTTTATCTGTGGCAATTAATTGTTTCTTTTTCGCTTAACCTTGTGGCCGCAATGACATTACAATAAACAGACTGCATTTCATGTAGTTAATCACTTGGCTTTTGCTTCTTTAGACAATAGGGAACAATTCTCCAACACACAGGGAATGGCCAAAGGAGAAGGCTAATTTCATCCCTCGTGTAAAGTTTCGTTGTATAATTTGCCACCCAATTGTTATTATTTTTAATTTGTTGGCATTTCTGAGTTTAGAGAAATATTAATGAAAAAAATACGTATAGTTTTGGAGTCTTTGACGATGATTAAATGTTTTCGTAATTGGAGAGAAATTAATTACATATATTTGTTGAAGGGTGCGGCATTATGCGGTCAATAAAAGTACAATTATTCATAACACTAAGAGAAGTGAGTGAAACGCGTGGTGTATGATGACGAAAGGAATGCAATTACAATGAACTTAGTCACGAGCAATGCATTCCATCATTTGCATGAAATGCTCAAGATAAAAAATAGCACTATTAAATTGACTTGAAAATCAATTTTAACTTGAAGATTATACACGTGAAGTTTGTGATACAACAATATTGAATGATTGATCAAATGATTGATGAAATTATGGTTACCAAGTCAATCGTCTACGCACTCCAACTGACGAGTATTATGAGTGAGTTTAAGATGATATTCTTATATGATTTCGTGAGAATTTTTTCAAAAAACATTTATTTCTTGTTAAGCCCATAATGACCCATATTTGATATTTATTTTCAAATTATTTTTTATTTTTTCATAGAAAAAACTTGGGTTTCCATCCAGATATATTTATATATATTAAAATTTTCAAAGCATGATATTCATAACAATAAAAATTAATAATTTAGGTAGCAAGCCTATGAGTGATAATAGAGTTCTCAAAAGTAGATTAATTTAGGACACAATTCTCACAATCATGTGCTATAAAAAATAACAAAAGCAATAATCTGTCAAAGCAGTAAATAGATTATGACAAATTACTATTATTAATTTTTTAATATTGATAATATTTGATCCCCTTCAAACCGTAACTTTCATCCCCTTGAAAATATTTGATAAAAAAAAGAAACTAAACAACAGTTTCAGACAATTTGTCGGCAACTTTAAATGAACATATAGTACAACAACTTGAATAACTCAATGCTTTATAGATTAGAAACATAGATTAGAAAAACAAACATAAGGACATCCATTATGAACTATCTGTTGAAGTAAACAAATGACTTTCGTGTCTTTTTGTGTTGTTTAATATTGCCATAATACGAAAAACTTTCAAATTCTCTATCAGTTAAAAATTAGGTAATGCAGTGAACTTGTCGAAAAGATAATATATTATTAATAATAATAAATTTAAAATGTATGAATTCGCAAAAATGAGCTGATGGATTATTTATGTAGCTGTCAAAGAAAAATAGAGACAAGTAGGGTATTTTAAGTTTTAATCACGTTAGCACTTACACTCATGAAGTTATTTATGAAGATTAACCAAAGAAGAATGCATACTTTTTCATAAATAAACCCATACATTAAAAGTCCCATTTTTAGTGGCAATCGCTGCCTGAGTGCAGCTTTGACTGGAGATCATTTTCTTTCACCTTTTATCTCTAGGGGAATCTGTTAAGAGATATAAGTAACTTTTAAAATAATTAAAAGAATGCATTAGTCGAGAAGAACCTACCCTAGTAATTGAAAATATAAAAATTACAATAATCCAACATACACCAACTAACATAGATGTATAACCAGATGCAACAAATTACCAAGAGATGCTCAACCCAACCCCAAATATGCACATTTCTGAGTATGCGCCTGCACGACATGCACCAAAGACAACTCTGTCAGAAGATAAACGAACTTCATGTCTAAAAAAATAGTGTGCCTGCATATATCTCCTTTTGGATTTTCTTTGCGCCCACAGACACAATTAATGATCACATGTTAACCGCAGGAGCTCCCTAATTTCACAATCAAACTTACTATGATCAGGTTCTAATCAGTGAAACAAAATCGAAGGGTAGCAATGAGAACAAATACATGCAATTCATTTTAACCCTTAGTGATCAACACACCTTAAACAGAAGATCATAGGCAATACATTCCCAGGGCAATGATATGGACATTAAGCTGCACTTCAAAGGTATCAAATCATCAAAATTTGAGCTAGAGGTAGAGGCCGCTGCATAAGCATGCCTTGCTGCTACTGATGCGGCGGAAGCTGCTCTGCGGACAATTACGCCAAGCCCGAACCCTTTCTTTGATATAACTGGAGAAAATGGGCCTGAGTCCTCGTGGCTTTGATCTGACATTGCAACAGAGAGATTCCATTTCAGCCATCCTTATATCTATCTTTAAATTGATAAGATTGGAACATACACAAGCTTCACAACATGTTTGGTTAGAATAGTCAAAGAAAGAAACGGTATTGCCGTGAGGCTTTGTTCTTTTAACCCTATAAACACCGTAGAAGCACTTGCTATCCTGATTGAAACAAATTTAATACAAAATCACATAAAGTAAAACAAACAATAATATGTTAACATGTTTCAATCCGACGAAGAATATTATTCAAACTTTATAATATCTTATTTTCTTTTAAGTCTTGTACTACAGAAATCCTGTAAGGTAAAAAATCATAGCATGTCAAATGCCAACGAAAATTTTGGAAATCCCAGGTGTATAGTAGGATATCTGAGCCTGATGAGTCACGTCCTTTCCTCCTAGAATGTTGTTATCTTCACGTCTTTTTTCTGTTCAGAATACTCCGGGGAGAAGAGAGTGGGTACCTGCGAAGGCACTCCGACGCTCAAGTCAGAAAAAAGGGAACTGTAGAACTCTTTTAGTTCAATAATCAAAGAAAATGATAATTTTCTCTTCCTCTAATGCAGAAAAACGTACCTTTTCTCCTCCTTGTTTTTCATATTTAACCTAACGATAAAATAATCCGTTTACCTAAAAATCCGGTTGGTTAAAGAACTTGACCATTTGGAAAACCGTTAGGTCGTGCTTGATACTGGGTCAGTTGATCCCGGGATTTGTGGCACTATGCAGATATTTCTAACTGTTTATTTTATTAGGATTAATATATCCATATTGAATAAAATTGACCGGACGTCTCTCCTCTGACATTTGATTGGATTGTCGTGACTTCGCGGGCTAATCATCAACTGTTCAGTGCAATCGACATGATCATTAAACAATCGCTATAATATGATCTTTTAATGATTAATGCCAAGAGGGTGACTTGCTCGCCAACCGCTTAGTGCAATCGACACACACATACGATCGCTACACTACGATCGTAAGATGGCTCGCCACTGTGTGCTTTATTTTATCCTTAATGGTCGCCTGGGTTACCAGTCGATTAACTCAGATATCCTACTATACATAATGCCCCCAAGTCCGAGTAAACGAGCGCGGTTTCCGCTTGCGAGCTTACTATAGGACGTTGAGTGTACAGTTATTGGGTAAGTGCGACGCACCGTTTTGGCGAAAAGGCTTTAGGGTTTCCCGCTTTTGGGTTATATGAAAAGACATGAAAATGGAGCCGTTGGATTAAGTTTATCTTACGGCGCATGATGTTCTGGCACCCTTGGCTTCTTTAATACGAAAGGGAATGTGAAAAGGTGTGTTACTTTTACCAAAATCAAAAAGCATCCTCTTCCTTCCAGTTCTCCTGCTTTGCGAAAAGTTGACTCTACTTCCATACAAACCCGCCAGGTAAATCTTTAATCCTTTCTCCGTTCTACTATGCTTATTGCCGATAATGGAAGAAAAGGGGCAGAATGCCCAGGTTGACACACCGGGATCGTCATCGATGGCGGAGCGTCACGAAATCACCACCATTTTGAGCGGTGAAAGTGCTTTCTTGTACGGAAGCGTGTTGAGTGAAGGTCCAGAAGATTGTGCTGAGCCCACGACTAGTGGTGGTGGCTATGACTGGGCTTCGGGGGAAGTAAGTGAGTTCCGTAGCTTGTTTAAGTAGAATAGTGTTAGCGGATTGGGTAGAAAACAGTTGTATCTTGAGAACCCTACATTATAGGTCTTGCTTTAAGTTGGTGGCCTTTCGTGAGGATGAGAGAGTTTTTCACGGAAGAGAAAACGCCACCAATGATTTTTTCTACTGTAATTCCTCGCCGTTTTATGATCTGTATGTGAGATTGCCCTTGACCAATTTTCAAATGGAAGTATTAAGAACCCTAAATGTGGCACCTACCCAACTGCATCCCAATAGTTGGGGGTATATGCAGGCGTTCGCTGTCATTTGTCAAGCCTTGGCTATCAGGCTTACTGTGGCATTGTTTTTGCGTTTCTTTAGATGTCGACCGGTTGCTAAGAAGGGTTGGTTATCCTTAATTTCTGAGCATGGTGATGCTCTCCTGGAGCTTTATTTGCAGTCGTACAGAGGCTTTAAGGAAAATTTTTTTAAAGTGTCGATTCTCGACTCAGGGCGACCGTACTTTTTTGACGAAGATGGAAGTCCGAAGTTTCCTCTGTACTGGACACAGGATCCGTTGAGCTTCACCTCATGGGCTGAGGATAAGATGACGATCGAAGAATTAGAGGCTTTGAATGTGTTGACGGCATTGCCACGCCCCTTTTCTTCCCGTCGGCTCATAAATTGTCTCGAGCATGATTACCCTCGAGTCGAAATCATCATGCTCGAGACAATTTATGAGCTGACAGGAAGAAAAGGGGCGTGGCAATGCCGTCAACACATTCAAAGTCTCTAATTCTTCGATCCTCATCTTATCCTCAGCTCATGAGGTGAATCTCAACGGATCCTGTGTCCAGTACAGAGGAAACTTCGGACTTCCATCTTCGTCAAAAAAGTACGGTCGCCCTGAGTCGAGAATCGACACTTTAAAAAAAAATTTCCTTAAAGCCTCTGTACGACTGCAAATAAAGCTCCAGGAGAGCATCACCATGTTCAGAAATTAAGGATAACCAACCCTTCTTAGCAACCGGTCGACATCTAAAGAAACGCAAAAACAATGCCACAGTAAGCCTGATAGCCAAGGCTTGACAAATGACAGCGAACGCCTGCATATACCCCCAACTATTGGGATGCAGTTGGGTAGGTGCCACATTTAGGGTTCTTAATACTTCATTTAAAAATTGGTCAAGGGCAATTTCACATACAGATCATAAAACGGCGAGGAATTACAGTAGAAAAAATCATTGGTGGCGTTTTCTCTTCCGTGAAAAACTCTCTCATCCTCACGACAGGCCACCAACTTAAAGCAAGACCTATAATGTAGGGTTCTCAAGATACAACTGTTTTCTACCCAATCCGCTAACACTACTCTACTTCTAAACAAGCTACGGAATTCACCTACTTCCCGCAAAGCCCAGTCATAGCCACCACCACTAGTCGTGGGCTCAGCACAATCTTCTGGACCTTCACTCAACACGCTTCCGTACAAGAAAGCACTTTCACCGCTCAGAATGGTGGTGATTTCGTGACGCTCCGCCATCGATGACGATCTCGTTGTGTCAACCTGGGCATTCTGCCCCTTTTCTTCCATTATCGGCAATAAGCACAGTAGAACGGAGAAAGGATTAAAGATTTACCTGGCGGGTTCGTATGGAAGCAGAGTCAACTTTTTGCAAAGCAGGAGAACCGTCACCAGAAGGAAAAGGATGCTTTTTGATTTTGGTAAAAGTAACACACCTTTTCACATTCCCTTTCGTATTAAAGAAGCCAAGGGTGCCAGAACATCATGCGACGTAAGATCAACTTAATCCAACGGCTCCATTTTCATGTCTTTTCATATACCCCAAAAGCTGGAAACCCTAAAGCCTTTTTGCCAAAATGATGCGTCGCACTTACCCAATAACTGTACACTCAACGTCCTATAGTAAACTCGCAAGCGAAAACCGCGCTCGTTTACTCGGACTTGGGGGGCATTATGTATAGTAGGATATCTGAGTTAATCGACTGTCGACTGGTAACCCAGGCGACCATTAAGGATAAAATAAAGCACACAATGGCGAGCCATCTTACGATCGTAGTGTAGCGATCGTATGTGCGTGTCGATTGCACTAAGCGGTTGGCGATTTGCCCGCAAGTCACCCTCTTGGCATTAATCATTAAACGATCGTATTATAGCGATTGTTTAATGATTATGTCGATTGCACTGAACAGTTGAGGATTAGCCCGCGAAGTCACGACAATCCAATCAAATGTCAAAGGAGAGACGTCCGGTCAATTTTATTCAATATGGATATATTAATCCTAATAAACTAAACAGTTAGAAATATCTACATAGTGCCACAAATCACGGGATCAACTGACCCAGTATCAAGCACGACCTAACGGTTGTGTTTTCCAAATGGTCAAGTTCTTTAACCAACCGGATTTTTAGATAAACGGTTTATTTTATCGTTAGGTTAAATATGAAAAACAAGGAGGAGGAAAGGTACGTTTTTCTGAATTAGAGAAAGAGAAAATTATCATTTTCTTCGATTATTGAACTAAAAGAGTTCTCCAGTTCCCTTTTTTCTGACTTAAGCGTCGGAGTGCCATCGCAGGTACCCACTCTCTTCTCCCCGGAGTATTCTGAACAGAAAGAAGACGTGAAGATAACAACATTCTAGGAGGAAAGGACGTGACTCATCAGGTTCATATCTCAGCCTCAACTTTTATACCGAAACACCAGGCATAAAGTGGTTTGTTACCTGCAACACCAGAAACAGCTACTTCAACTTCTCCTCGGCCTCCAGGACCTTTCATGTAAATCCTATCTGTTTTGCCAGAAGAATGGCCCACTGATAAAAGGCTCCCAAATCGGGACCTGCCACCTGCTGTGAAGCAAGAGGGAATAGATTGTATCTGACCAAAGAGACAACAGATATATGGTATGTGGCATCTATTAGCTACGTACAACATAAAGAGCTTGTGGAATTTCCGGTATGAAGGAAGTAAAGTGTTCCTTTAGCAAGTAAGAGGGAAAATGCTACTAAAGATTAATCTATTAAACTGCTCTACATATGAAAATTTCTGTAAATAGAATTTATGAAATACCATAATATTGTTGGGCACTTAATTTTAGCAAGGATGAATAAAATTACCCAACCATGGTTAATGGATTTGTCAAAGATCAAGATATTCAAAATAACATTGACACATCAAGTGAAGGAAAGGAATTTATCCACATCCACATATCTGGTAAAATACTATGGTGACAATATGCAAAATATTAAAAATTACATCCCCAAAGATTACCATCATAAGCATCTCGAACCATTTGATAGCTTACAAATCCTGAGAAAAGGGTAAGCTGCAAATCGGAGAGATATCAGAACATCAGAATGTTGAAGTTAGTAAATTAAGAAGTTCTGCATAAGTTTTGTTTGTTGACATACCCATTGAATAATTTAAGTAGATACTTGACGAATTAGGCAGAGAATGTTGAAAATAAAACTTGGTTCATCAATAAAAAAAAAGGCACATTGTTAGATAAAATTGTAATTTCTATATACTTTCCTATTTATAGGTTAAATATAGAGAGCATATCTGAAGAAATCACACTCATATATGAAAGCTCATTAGGAGTTAATATTCTAGCATGCATTTCAGGTATGGCCTTCTTATGTTGAACTTAGATGTTTTCTCAAAGTGAGTCCTGCAAACAAATTCTTTACAGACAATTTGCTGCATCTTATAAACATAGGAAAGTGGTATGAATGTCTCATCTTATAATGTTCATGCTATAATCAGAGAAGTGTAAAGACAGTTATTCACATTTCAATTAAATAAATTACAAGCACTATCTTTTGCCCTGGCATCTGCAAAAAGTGACAAATGTTCCAGCTGCATATTTCATCATTAACACCAAAGCATGTAGAAGGAATATACAGTCCATATTATGCAGCATTTAAATAAAACAAAAAAAAATTATTAATAGAATGAACTGAGCAGATTATCAAAATCTGGACGGAAAATAAATTTCAGATATAGTAACGAAGAAGTAATTAAACCTTTGTATCCTTTTTCTTTGCGGATCTAGTATGGACTTCTAAATTGGAGCTATTATTACAATCATTTGACACCTTCTCACTTGGAAATGCTGCCCCATCATGTGCGTTTAGAACTACACAATAGCAATGATCTTTTTCGGTCAAAACCTGAACGGAAACAAAATCACCAAGATTTCATGAAGTCATCAGAATGAGAATGCATAATGCATTCAATATTGTCTACTCTTGATATGGAGCAAGTCAAGACCAATCAACCAAGAGTAAGCATTCATACAATAAATAAATACATGACAATGTGAATTAAGAATTTAGAATTAATATCAATCAAAATTCAGCTCTTGACTGAAACACATAAGCATTAAACAATTAACAAGATCAGCCATTAATCTGTGACTAGTATACATTTTTGTAAATTGATGTGGAAATTTCACAAGTAAATAAAAGAGTGGAGCATTTCAAGGTAACCTTGAAACCAATTTTGCAACATGAAACAAACAATATAAAGCAGGGCATATTTACAAAATATCACCTAACTTAACTAGAAAATGTAAACCACAAAATATGTTGAGTAAGTATAAACATTCCATACATGAAAGTGTAATTAAAAACGTAAAACTTACTAAAGTGATTTATTACCACAGCATCAAAAGTAGAGTCAAAATCATCAATTGCAAAACATATATCTGGATAAGCAGGAGTCGTTTCCACTTCCTACACACATCAATGTCAGTGTAATTGTCAATAAAAGTACTAAGTATCCAAAAACAATAGTACTCATTCTTTTACATATGAATATACAAAAGAAAAAAGATTAGTATACTTGCCTTTTTAGAGTCCAATTGAAAATTTACACGACTTGGGGATGCATAAACTGTCTTCACAATCTGAGTAAGTACAAAGGGCGTCACTGCCAAATCAGAGGATATGATGTGTATTTACATTTAGAGTTTTAGACATTTTAAACTTCCAACTCACCAATATTAAGCATATAATACTGAGAAAAAAACTTCATTGGCTTAAAGTTTCACAGAAAGGGATCCTCCAGTCCAAAATTTCAAAAAATCCTTCTTGATAAATAAATTTAAACAACACCAACACCAACAATAGGTTGACCATGGAAAAGAACAAAACAATCACCATTTCAAAGGGACAAAAATAGTTTAATGTAGAAGTTGAATGAGATAAAAATATATAATGATGTAAAACATAGAAGGGAATATTACCAACAACTGGGAAGGAATTGAATTACATTTACAGTTTATGACATATGGGAATGGTTGAAGACTACGGTTCCAGGCAGCCCTTGATCAAAATGTCAAGAAAGTCTAAATCAAGACTTTAGACAGACATAAAAGGGGGATATATTAACCTCGAAGTAACAGAAATCTAGAAAGCACTCACAGTACCACACTTCTGTATTTGAAGCCATGAAAACTGAAATTCATCATAATAGAATAACAGTACAACCCGGAATTGTGCAAAGGTATTTGTGACATTCTCAATAGATCTTCTTATGGCAATTAATCAACACAATATAACAATGAACAAATTGAATCAGCTAGAAAGTTAGGACTAAAATATTTGGTGTGGGTTGGGGTGAGCCTGAATAAGCCCAGAAGAACTAGACCTTCATAAAAGAAACTACGGATCCAAGACATGCCAAACCAGTAGCTTGAAGATGGAAATTATTCATTACCATCCCATCAAAACAGGACTTAGGGTTCATAAATCTTCCGTTTTCTCTGAACCTTATATTGAGATATATGACAAGATTTGAAAATTCATTTTTGACCTATGAATATTAGATAATAAAATAGGAGAGAGGAAAACAAATAAAAAAAAATGAACATTATCTTTTACAAAAAACTACAAGTAGAGGAAGTATGGACAATGCAAATGGGAGAGATTCATTATACACATACCTTGTATATAGGGGATAAAGGTGTATCCTCCCCAGTTCGATGATTAAGAAGATCCTGGCGACTAGAGAAATAGATAACTCAAATCAGATTGCCTACATAAATGCTTGTGGGGAACCTATGGACAATAACCCTAAATTGTAAGGATTTATAAAGTTTATTCAAACACTTTCTTGGCCTAAAAACATACATATGATTCTTCTTTAAAGTTGCAGAATGTTTCAATCGGAATTTGTAAGTTACTCCAAGTACAATGAAAATGATGAAACAAAATATATGGAAAAAAGAAAACTGTTGAAACTGAAATGAGCTTTGGTATTTGGCATAAAAGAAATCTTGCAGGTGATAAATGACCAAATGACAATGCAATAATACAACTCATCTATCTTCGTAATATTTAAGGAAATAAGAGATCGGTTCTTTGGAGATTCTACAAAAAAAAATCAACTGATGCATGCATATGACCATGGTACAAAGTAGATAAAATTAAGAGGCAACCTGAATGGTTGTGAAATCATCTAAAAGATTAGCCATGGTGAAACACAATGGTGGAAACAAAATTAAGGAAATAGGATCATTACCTGCAAATTGCAACAGTTACACTGAATGATGTATGGGCAATTAAATTCAAGTAAAATGATCGCCTCCAGTCCACATCTATAGAAGTTTCATCAACTAAGTCTTGCAACTGGTTGAGAAAAAGTGAACAAAATTATTTGGCATCACAAGGGTTGAACTACCAAATCCTACGTCAAAAAGCGTTATCAAATAAACCACATGGATTTTAGCAATTAAAAAATATAATTGGTTCACAAGGAAATTAATGCCAAGCCACATGATACATAAACACTTTCATGCACTCAATACCTGACATAATTCAACTCATACTAAGCCCAGACCAACTTTAACTGTCATGTTTGGATAAAGAACAGAGAAATTCTGATGCACCAAATAAAGAACAGAGAAATTGTTGCTTTAAAAAATGTTTTTGAGCTCTCCAACTTTTTAACCTCAAATTAACACAAACTCACCTAAAATTCTGCTTTTTTAAGGCAATCCTATATTCTAATTAGGCTATATCTTAGATTTTGAGTAATGCCTAAACCAAAATTCTAATACATACACAGCATCAAAGTTTATCCTAATGGTTGTTATTAAACCAATTGGATCTCTTGTAAATGGGTCATTGTAGGATCACCTGGATGGTAGATGTCTAGTCTTAAAAAATCTAATTGAGACGTGCAATCCCAAATGTGAGGAGTGTGAGTCAAAGATCATATACTGACCAGCTATAAGACCAAAATAGCACACATACGTAAGCACAAGCTAATTTTAAGGCCCAAACCAAATAAAAGAGGAACAAGTTTAAAAAATGAGATTGCATTAACATGTTAATTTGTTAGAATAAATTTTGAATTGTTTTAACAACTACATATCCATGAATGCCAATGACAATTAAAAGTCTCAAACACCTATGACAATAGTTTTCAACTTCAATTGACGGGTAAAAGATAAATCAGTAAGAAACATCTTTTACATGTTTTTCGTCTTCTTTGACTAGGTAAATGATTCAGGGGAAAAAGACACAAGTTAGAATATTATCATCATATGTATGAAGCACACAGGAAAACGATTTATCGTATATCGTTTAGCGTGAAGAACATCGACAACAAGCACTTTCGGAGTTTGAACTTCTGCTGACCCTTATATTGTGTGTGCACAAGTGTACGAGACTTTGAATATATTTTAAATTTGAATTTACCTTAGGTGCCCACCTGCGTACAAAATAAGGCTCGACGATCTCTGTTTTATTGTTGGAACCAGAACCATGGGAACCCTGAAGGAAAACAAGACTTCTAAACGGATCAAATATTGCTTCCAATCCAACTTTCAAACCAAAGAACATAGCAAGAAGATAGTAATTATATGTCACGAACAACCCGTTTGAACAAAGATTAACATTAAATGAATCGAGACATTTTAAAGTTGAAAAAGACATACCAATTTTCTGACAAAGAAAACAAGATCATCGTCTTGACGTCCCCTTGACTCCATGCCACGGACGAAATACAGATCAAAAACATCGTGCCAAAACCTCATATCCATTTCAACATCAGAAGTATCTTGATCTTGATCCTCAACTACCGTTTGCCCAATTAACTTGGAGTTTTTCTTCACCATGCTCAACAATTCATACCTTAGGAACACAAATAAAAAAAACTAATAATTACAATTTACCAAAAAGAGAAAAAAAAATGATGCAGGACAGTATTATTAGCGCATCCAAAACATCAAAAGAAGAAAGTCAGGAAAAATAATAATGCACGATGCAACACCATGTGAGATTGCATTATCCTTCCATTACCCAATCATAATCATAAAATTTGACACGAGTGAAGCCACAAAAAAGAGAGCGCAGAAGAACAAAAATGTGATCGTGAAATTACAAGTACCTTGAGGGGGTTTCGTCTCCATCGCTCAGCATCATCTCAATTGCTTTCGGTTATCAATGTTCGAGAAACAAATCCAGTTTAGGGTTTATGGCAAAGAATCGTAGGTGATGGTGAGTTTCCAAATATCTACAGTGCTCGAGAAGAAGAAAGATCGTGAAATATCTACACTTCAACACACCAATGGAAATCATTAAATAATATATATAATTTATTATAAACGAATCTATCACTTGGTCGTTGTAGTATAGTGGTAAGTATTCCCGCCTGTCACGCGGGTGACCCGGGTTCGATCCCCGGCAACGGCGATTTTTAACTTTCGTTAACAGTTGTTTAATTATTATTTTGTTTTTGTCCTTGTAATAGTGGTGATAACTATTTTCGCTTGTCATTCGAGTGACAAATCCTCAGCAATGGTGGAATTTCTTTAATTGCTTTTTCGTTCAAAATGACATTTTGTGATTCTGTTGTCACCTACATTTCTTCATTTAAAAGATTCTTATAAATAACGATAATGAAAAAAACATGGGAAATCCTAAAGTTATATTATATTAGTTTAAAACTAATCCTTCACGTCACACTATTTACATTGGATTTTCAAAGGAAAATGAGAAAAAAAAAGTAGTGATATTTTTGTGAATAAGTGAAATTGTTTTACATTAAATTATTTGGTATTTAATGTGAAAGTTTTTAAATCAAGACTCATAAGATTATTTTTCCAAGTAATTTCAGTGTGATTTTTCCTCTTCTTATTTTCTTTCTAGTGACGTTGTATATGTATTTTTATATGTGTTGGAAGTCATTTTGTTAGTCTGAATCAGTTAGGAAACATTTTCCACGGATTAAGTTGGATTTTTTGTATGTCTAAGTCCTAGATATTCTATATAATCGTTCTATTATTAAATTCCACAACATAGTTGTTTGGTTCTCAACTGTACATAAATATTAATTTCTTTTGATTTTGTTTATTTGTTTGCCTTCTTTGGATATTTACTTTTTGTATCTTGACTGTGTTGTATCTAGATTATCTTTTTGTGTTTTACTGTTCTTCGATTTTATAAAGATCATAAAGATAGTTAGAAATTTACTTTTAACAATTTTTTTAGTAATTTCTTTTAGCTTATATTTAATATTATAGAAATGTATTTTGAAATACAAAATTTTGGTAATTAGAAACTTTATACATTCGTGAGTAATACCCAAAGAGGGACCAAGATATCCAAAATTTGTCCATTTACTGCAAATTTTTTATAGTATTTTTGACACTTGTTAATTTAAGGCATTTAGTTTATATATATATATATATTCGTTATAAAAATATGAAATTTTTTGTGGTGTCCTTTTATACTATATAAAAATTGATCAAACACTCTATATATTTAATATTTTCATGTTAAAATTATTTAATTTTGTGAATTTTTCATTTTGCATACTAATATGATTTGTATTTGATGTATACAGAACAAAACTACCGGAATGGATATTTTTTCTATATTTCAATTTTCTATGTTAAACTAAAACTAATTAAATTAAAAAATAATTACGTAGGTAGAAGTTTCGGGGATAAACATTAAGTAAAATAGTTGTAGCGAGTGAAAGAAAGAAGGGATAAACATTAAGTAAAATGTTGAAGTAATATTTCTGTAGAACGTAAAATATGTGAAATATAGAGAGAGGTAGAAAAAAGAAGAAATAAAAGGGTAAATAAGGAGAAAATGAGTAACGTGAAATGTGTGTGTAACTACGCATCGGTTTGAACGATGCGCTTCCACAGTTGATGGCACGTCAGAATCATTCATAATGGGTTCAATGTATATTCACATGTCATTTTGACTTTAGAGACAAATTTTATTTATTTTCATTACAAATGTAAGTGTACGTTTATAAATGACACAATTAATCCTTCCAACAAAATATAAATATATATATTTTACGTTTTTAGTTTCTCAAACGCTTTTACCTCAATCTATCTTTATATTTTTCGTTTTTGTTTACAACATTTTATTTCTATTCCCACCATTCAATTTCTATTTAAAAATACTAAATTATTATTATTAGAAAGAAATGTATCAATACCTAATTGATATTCACTTTAAAAGAGAAATTTACTGTGTTTCGGCGGGATTTAGAACCCTAATCCAAAACATTCCAAGTTGTCTGCTCCGATGTACAGTTGTGCTGTCTTCACTCTTTTCCTTGTCCGAGCCGCGGGAGAGGGTGCCTCTGACTAACGCGATCCGCCTGCCTGCTTCCAATTTGGACCGATCGGTCACTTTCAATCTTGCCCGCTCGGTTGTGGAAGGAGGGGAGGTACCTGCAAAAGGCACTCCGACGCTCAAGTTAGGAGCGGTTTATGAACTGTTTGCTACAGTTAAAATATTGACATCCTAATAAGATGTAAATAGGAAGTATTGTAGTATGAGTTGAATCTGTCTTTACCTTAAACCTAAACCCTTATTTATAGAGTTCTAAAGGAATCTGACACATTAATTTACCTCTTAATGGTCAATAATACAAACCTTAATTATTTAACGGTAGCCGTTATCACATTCATTGTGCATTAACTCTGCTCCATAATTGTCGAGACCGAACGGAGGAAAAGCTGATTGAGACCGATCGGTAGCCAATGAGTCTGACCGATCGGTAGCCAGTGAGCTTGTAGTAACACATTGAATTAAACATCTTTGTAAAATTGATTCATAATATAAATAGATTGCACATTATTAATTGTAAAATCTTAAATTAAAATACTTTAATTAATTCAATTTAAAAACATATCATATAAATATGAAACTAAAATTCTAAACAAACAACATTACTTGATTCACGTGTAATTCATCAAGACTTGTTAAAGAAAGTTGAACATAAACGAGAAACTCAGAATTAATCATGTGTTTTTGTCCACACCATTGCACCAAAAGTGATGTAAAAAAATTAAAAGATAATTAGGCAAATCAAAATCTCACTAATAAAATTGTTGCCGTTTCCCTTAATTTAATTATCTCGCAAACGCGTCTTCTACTATTTCTTGGATTCCTTGTTACTGATGTTAAGTCAAGGGACAACATTTTTAAAGTAAAAGAAACTTTGTCCACCGAAACAACGCAATCATCACGATCCAAACGACAACATCATCAAATATGAAACAATTCAGTGACAGAGTGTGAGTACATGTTCATTTTTTTAATGCAGCTTTAGTCCACAGAACATGCCCAATCTACATTTGTAAACCAATTTTTCTGCAACTTGTTACTTTTAAATTAATTGCTACACATATCAAAATCTAACAATGTATCATCATCTTCTTTCCGATCCCAATAATCATGTTCCCAACTCAATATCTTCTTGCCCTGCCCATCACTTTAATTGTTTTCTTCCTTTCCCATTTTCCCTTTTTTGATTCATAAAAAATTAAACTTCAGTTTTTGCAATGTAAACCAAAATTTCTACTGACAACTTTGAGTCTAAATAGACAAACTTCACCATAGGTTTTTCTAGGATGATGAAACTAATTAAATAACTTAATTTTAATCTACTAAATTAATGTGTACACTTTTATAGCAAATTTTATTCAATAAAACTTCTGTTACTACGATGCGACTTATTAATTAAATATCACACTAAAAATGAACATTTTCTCAATAATGTTAATCCATAAAGTCTCTCGTGAGTCGGTGGCTGCTGAAGATAAAAATGAATATACAATCAGAATTAAAAACTGGGTACAAATAAGCACTTCATAATTTTGTCGATTCACAAATATTTCCTTGAAACGTTGGTGAATGGAAATGTTGTCAAGCTGTATGAAACATGAGAAAATTGCACAAAAAGGTAAGGGGAATCTCCAAACTCCGTTTAGTTTATTTCATTACACGTTAATCATTCTTCATTATGTATAATAATATAAAAGATAAATTCTTAATTTCATTTTGGCTCTCCAAAATCACTCCAAAACATAATTAAGGTGTGAAGGCACAATATTAATAACCCATAGATGCAACATTAGATCACATATACCGAGAAGATTCAGAGACGTTGATTTTGATTGTGTTCGCTTGACTTCAGTCCTCGTCGACGGCTATCAGGGCTTCACTCTTCTTCCCTTTCCCGGTCCTTCTCCTGCTGCCGGCGGCTGAAACGACACCGTCGTGGCGGAGGTTTCCGTCGTTGAGCATCAACGGCAAGTCGTTGGCGTCTTCGCCGTCTTCCTGGGTGGCGATGCGAATGCAAGAACAACGGTTCAAGGAGGCGAAGAAAGCCGTTGTGACGCCGTTGATGAACCACATGGCCACGCCATCAAACTTTCCGCAACCGGAGGAGGCTTGCGTGGAGGAGACCCTGGACTCGACGGAGTTGGGTGATCGGAGACTGAAGAAGCCGGTGCAGGTGGAAGAAGAAGTAGTGGCAGCCATAGAATTAGTTTTGGGCAATAATTTGAAAGGAGCACAGCGAGAACAGAAGCCAGAGCTTAAGAAGCTTCAGCTTTTCGTAGTTAACGGACTCTACAAAGCTTAATCAACTATAACAATCAAGTTTTAGACAATATATTCGTAATTAAGTGTGTTTTAATATATATATTTATATTTATATTTATATATAATTTACAAAATGTTAACTTTTGTGGGACAATAAATTGTCCTATTGACCTACTCCATAATAAGGTTGATAAGCGTGTTTTTCCTTGATGGAATAGAAAGCAAAGCATATCTAATTGAGTCGGACTGGTTAGTTAGTTTTGTTATCCTAATTTTAATGATGTTTTTATATTTTATGTTGTTAAGTTACAAAATTAATGTTTATATTATAGTTAATTTCATGTATTTTTAAAATAATATTGATAATACTTATACTTATTTTTTATAAAATGTAAACAGTTACCATTAATTAAATAATAATTAGAAATATTCTTCCCACCATTTAGTTAACCCCTTTAAGATGAAAAAAAAAACATGGCATTATTTTCTTATGTACTCACTTATGACTGTCTCAAATACTGTCTAGGTGTCATTTTGTCCACGTCAAATAATGAAGTTGTTTTAAATATAAGTGTAAGCTTCAAAACAGTGGATATACAAATGAGTAGTTTCTGTTGAAATATATACAAAAAGAGTAGTTAAAGCTATGTATTGTAATTGATTGTTAATTGTAATTATCTTTTATCCTAAGCTAAATTGTTATGTACGTAGCAGGCGCCCCCACACATTGAAAATGGAATGGCAGTCGAGAATAAACGATGCGTACTCTATTGTAGTTACGTTGCATCTGACACAAAATACACGGCAGAGACAGCTATATATTAAATATTTCATGAATTTGATCATAAGCTACGTTCACAATTATTGCTCAATAACGTTCTTCAATACATTCTCAACTTATAGATTAAGATTTTTCTGTTAGATTATATATCTCTCTCACATCGAACATGAATCACACCTTGGACATCCTTTTATTAGCAGCATTGCAAGAAGACAGAAATCACAGTTTACATTCACAATTTTTTTATACAAAATTTTGTGTAATCATTGTCCATAGCTCTAGAACATTTCACAATAATTATTTAAAAGTCCTTTTTAAAGTATTTAAATCAATAGAAATAACCATTTATTTTAAAAATCGAACCAAACATACAAAAAATATAATTTGCACTTTTTCGAAAACAATACTGTTGTATATTATCGTTGATGTGTATCTAATGAGGTAATAAATCATGATTCATGGGTTACCTTTTCTTTTTCGAGAATCGTGGGTAAACTTTCGCCAGCCACTGGTAATGGATACTCATCATATCATGAGTGTTACATTTTGTAACCCATCACCTACTCTGTAAAATGAGGCTCTACTTTTACGCTATTTTTTGGCAATTAGATTTTGTAGACAAACACTGTACAATTGGACTGCAAAGGCGGTTTTGGAAGTAATTCACTTTTTTTCTTTTAAATTAGTTTAAATATAAGTTAATTTGAACAGTTTATTTCGCATATATATATATATATATATATATATATATTTATGTAGTATTTCATTTTATTTTTCCATTTTAAAAATAATTATGATGACGTCTGCCTAAATGAATTGTAATGTTCCAAATACGATAAACTAATTATTTGTTTAATAAACTGCTTAGGATAATTTTTGTTTTGGATTAGTGGTAACTAGTGTTGGATTAATACACAGTGAAAATATATGTACTACTGTGTTTATTTTTTTATGATAACAATAAAAGTATTATTATTTAAAAAAAAAAAGTATGTTTTCCAAAGCTAAGGAATTAGAGGAAATTTTGAATTTACAGTGACATTATTATTAATAAAAATAGACAACTTTCTTAAATATAAATGAAAGTTTCACATATGTAATATGTAATAAGGTAGTTTAAGAATTCATAAATGGATTTTCCATAAGATAAAATAAGAAAAGAGGACAAATTATATTTAATATATATAAATTTTTCAATTTTTCTTTTATAAAACATACACAGACTTAGTTTCAATAAATATTTTAAGAATATCAAAATAAATATATAATTTTTTTGGAATGTCATACATAAAATATATTAAAATTAAAATAAATTATATTATATTAAAAATTTTGAAACGCCAAAGCTTCCTCAAATCGTGTTAATGGGGTCGGTTTGAATAAAAATCTTATACTCAATTTTAATTTGACTGAAACACTCGGAATCCAAAATATTTAAGATCATGAATACATGTAAACGTCCATAATTAATCACGTATCTTAAATTTCACATTGATTATTTACTTATATTGTAATTAACGTTATCTGTGAAAATAACAATATTTTTCTATTTAAATAATTTGATCCATAGTTTACATGGACTTTTAATTTTATGATTTGATTCATTAACTTAATATAATAAACAAAGTTACTAAATGATATCTATACCTGTATATAAAAAAATTATTCTCTTTTTATAATATAATCGTTATTTTAAATTTTTTAATAAAACTATCATAAATTTCATTTTTTTCTTTTTTCTCTTCAACGTATTTGTAATTTCTACACTTACGTTACTCTCAATCAGATACTTCTTATGTTACTCTCAATCTCTTTTTCTTAAAACTTAAAGAATGTAGACACACATGCGAGAGCACATGTGTTTTTGTTAACAAAAGTAGAAAACGTTAACCCCATGAGATTGTTTAGTGAAAAGAAAAAAACTAAAATTAACTAATCATGAAAAATATAATTTTTAAAATTAACTTCTTTTTTTAATTGGTACAATATTATTAAAATAGTGCATGAGTACTTTAGAAATATAAGAATAACGTTTTTTTTTTTATCTAACGTCCATAATTAATTGCGATATAAACAGATTGTCTAGCAAATAAAGAACATAAAGTAAATGCACAAACCAATATGGAGGCAAATAAAGGACATTAATGAAGCAGAGACGCAGAATGCATCATCTTCATTGACAGAGGTGTAGTGTATAAAAATAGTTTTAACTGCCTACTAGCCCCAAGGGTTACCAAGACATTGTTTGCCGGGAAAAATCCAGATCTGCAGTGACATTCAGTATTATGTAATTGGTTCCTTTTTTTGTCTCTAACGTAATTGGTTCTCAAATGGCGAAAAAAAGTCTCGTTGTGGACGGCCAAATTAAGTTTTGTTGTGCACACTAGCAAGGACATTTAACCCGGCTGCGTATAGAATCTGGTAGTGGTCCTCTGGTTTAAAGAAAACGGGACAGCCAGAGAAGCAAACAAATTCTAATTCTACGAAAGGATAGCCTCTCAGTCCCACCGGTTTATAAAGTTTCAGTGTTCAACTCTTAAACCACATCTCATTCATGGCAAAAGAGAAAACAGAAGAGGACACAAATCTACAGTTTAGTCAAATTTAGAGAAAAAAGGATACAAACTATATTATAATACTTTAATCAGCCACATAGAGTTGCATTGTCATGTTCTAAGAACAAAAACATCATATATATATTCGACAGGATAGAGTAAGAGCATTGAAAGATAACCTCGTACCCTATTGATCACAGCTGAATCCCTGACAGGGTGACATGAATAATAAAAGGCAACTGGCCCATTTAGACATATAACGGACAAAAATGCTGAGTAGAGTTAAGAAAACTAGGTATGGATTTGGAATGAGTCTATTCTAGATTTTGCCTCTCCAGCTTCAGTTACAGGTTAGGAGGAGCGGGTTATGTAAAATTTAAACCCAACCGGTCTTCATCAGGGCCAAGTACATTTTAATTCAAATGATATATACATGAATTATGAAAATAGAAACCTAAGAGCTGAACATATGATTTGAATAATTATATATTATTATAATTTAAGAGATTTAATAATTATAATGCTTTTCAACCATGATAAGAAATAAGATTGAGAGATCATATGCATGTGTAGTGTCTCAGAAATAGTGAGAAAGAATCAAAGGCGAGAATAGTAAATCGACACCGCACCTTCGTACTTCTCATCTCTCACGCAGTACACCATCCACATGTGTGACTTTAAGGTGGGTTCAGGTGCAGATAGATACATAAACATACCCATGCCACTATTGCAAATTGGAAAAAACATGAACATACTCAGTCAAAGCATATTTTCTCCATCAAAATCAGGGCAGGATCATATATGAATGGTCATGGGTTAAGATTTAATTGCCATACCTAGACAAAACAGTGATAGTATACTGCTCGTGACTCGTAGAGAGTATCGCTGATTCAACAGAACTAATTAAATTAAGAGTTCTTTAATGATAGGACTTCTTAATCAAATAAAAAAGAAACCATTCAGCAGAAGTAATTAAATGTAAGAGTTCTCTCATGATATGACTTCTTAATCTAATCCTAAAGAAACCATTGCAAGAAATAGAATGCAGGAAACTGAACAGTAATGATTAATAATATTAACAACAATGTAAAGGATGTAAAGCAAGCTTGTGCATGAGATGTTCCTTTTAGAGAAAAATGTATTAGGGTACATTAAGCACGCAGTTAGTCGATCATCCAGTAAGTGACAAAACCAAGTTTGCTGCTCGAGGATAAGAGAAGGCTAAACTCACCTGACAACATCAGCAATCTGAAAATTAGTCAGATACAAACCCGACAGCCACTTCCAATGGCAGTTGCAGAGAGTCAAATCTGCTAAATCTAAACTTTATAGAGAAAGGAAAGCTGCATATTCAAACAAATATGAATGTCGATTTGCCATATAAAAAACAAAAAAATAAATGCACTAAAACTAGGTTTTATGACTAAGATTAAGAGTACCAAGGATTGAAGGCTAATTAGAAGACTATTATTTACAAATTACAAAAGATAGATGGAAGAACATTACCTAATCTAGTACCAGCCAGTGCCAACAAAACCGTTATTCATATACTGCTGTAGATGAATACGCTTTAACTATTACAATGATTGAACAACTTTGTTTTCCATTCAAGAAAGAAGTATAAAACAATCATCCAAGTTTTCTGAGGTGTTGTGTTTATATGCATCCACATTGAAGCAAAGTAAATTTGAGTAAGATGGCTCAAACCATTGCCTCTGTTTATGGGTATGGAGAATAGACTAAAAACAGTAACTCGAACATTACAACCAGAATTTTTTTCTTGTTCACCTACTGTAATATTAACTAAAATTTAATACCTGGAAACATATATATGCTGCCTAACTGAAAGATCCGATTTTTCTGCATTATATTCCAACTGCATTACAATTAAGAGGTAGGCTGAAACATCATACTAAGCAGGAAAAACAATCCTACTACCACCCACAATATGCAAATACAAAGCAAGGCACAAGGTAAAAATAACCGATGACTTGGCTGCAATATATCTAACCACTTCTAGTCCTTTGTTCACTACCTCATCATGAACCTTACAAACACTACTTTTGAATCCATCCGTTATTCTCCACATCAAAAACGCCACAAATGACCTCACCGTTTCAAGCGTTACCCTCCCCGTGACATCAAGCACAAACCTTCGGTTAGCCGGCACCGCTAGCGTTGACTTAATCTGTTCAAGCCACCCAACATCCTGAGCCCCCCCAACCGAGCTTCCAATCCTGACCTGCCGCAGAAAAACCTCCTGTTTCAGGCACCCGTCTTCACTTGCTGGAACAACAACAGAAGACATAGATAAACCCGAATTCAACCTCTCACTCCGGTTAGACAAAACATGGTGCGAAGTTCTGACAAAGGTCTCAACAGCCCCATTAACCATGGAAACTAAAATCTCCTTCACCTTCTCCTGATGCCTGGGATTCGACAACCCCGCAAACATTTCATCATAGGTATTGACATTCATCGTCTTATCAAGAAAAACAGCAACCGCAGTGCTCACAAAAATCTGCACACAATCCCCAATAAACTTGCCACACCTCTCATCATAAATGGCATTCACCCATCTAGGAACCCCCGATTGAGACCTCTCCCCCGTTGATTCGGCACCATAGAAACCCAAAACCAAGTTCCTCGCAAAGCTCCCGACCACAACGGACGCAAAACCCGTCCCAGCCTTCGAGAATAGCTTCTCTAACACCCTATCAGAGAATTTAGAAGCTTCCGCGGTGATTTCCAAGGGAGCAATACCGTTATTATCATTACCCGCACGTGAGTTATACCCTAACAAAATTCCAATCGTCACAGCCTCGGAAACCCTAGCCAGCGACGTTGAGAATTCCTTCGATTTGGCGATTTTCGCTAATTGCTTCAAACTGGTGGGGATCTCGTCGGAATCAGAAGCGAGGAATTGGTGCACGTCGTTAGAGATAACGGTGAGGGAGTGTGCAGAATCGGAAATTAACTCGGCGACGGTAACGAAGGTTCTGAGGAGCTTGGCAATACGGTGGCGTTTTTGAGCTACATAGGGTGAATTGTAAGCCCTATAGGCGGCGTAACCGGAGGCACCGAAGAAGGCAAATAGGAGAAGGTATTTTCTTTTTCTTGAAGAAAATTGGGGAGAGTTCCTGAGAAGCGGAAGGTCCATGAGAGTGAAAACCCTGTGGATTGTATCCAAGTGAGATTGGTTTGTTGGGTAATGCAGCAGTTGATAGCGGATATATAATTGACCCCAAAAATAAGAGGGGAAGATGCAGGCAGCGAAAACAAAGGAAGATGGAAATGAAATAAATGCAGTTAGTTATTGAAATCTGAATGGTTGGAGGGAAAATAACACACCTCTCTGGCATTACACCACACTCCTCCAACTACTAACTTTGCTTTGCCTCAGTAATTAAAATACCAGTGGTGCACACTCATCATCATGTACGCGCCAAACAAACGGTTGTTGAACATACCCCTATATGCAATGCAACGCAATTCACTTTTTAACTATATATGCATAACGCCAATGTTTTATTAATACTTTAAAATGTCAATGTAAAAGTACATGGGGACTTTTTAATTTATTAATTAATTGCTTGTTAAGAGTTCAAAATTCACGCAAGTTTTTTCTTTTATCACGTTGTATTATTCAATCCATTTGATGGCTTCCATAAAAAATAAGTATACTCAAGTAATCCATACAATTTGACAATTCCACAGTTAAAAAATCAAAATCAATGTCATCGAATAATTTCCGCCAACCACAAAACGTTTGCCTCTTTCTCTAACTACCAAAATTGTTGGTTTCTTCTTACACTGCTTTATGTGAAATAACTTTAGGATTTGGTTAAAGAAAACTTTTTTCCCAAACACTTTTGACAATTCAAATTGAAGCGACCTAACAGAAAAAATACAAAGCAACTTCGTCACTCTTGTCAATGGATATATTGAGATTTTGGAGATGAGGAAGCAATTTGTAAGTGGATGTTAAAGGAGCTGTACACGCAGAAGAAAAGCAGAAGGGCTAAAAGAAAATAAATGCTTTTTTTTTCTCCCGTAATTTCAAAGAGTATAAAGTAGTCAGCCTCCTAACTTACCTCCAACTCGAATCTGTAGCTAAAATCGGAAGAGGTTTAATAGCTTTTTGTTGTTGGGGTGACCTTGGTGAGTAAAATGACTAATCAGAACTAATTTCTTATCTATTTTAATTCTGCGTTATCAATCCTTTGAAATTCCAACATTCCAAAAGTATTCAAACAAATTCACCTTTTTAGAATATCAGCACGAGTGAAGATTAGCCGTGAATTGGCGCTCGGCAAGGCTTCCATCATCATTTAAGAGTCAACCAGGAAACGTCAAGTGAAATCAACTAGCCATATAGGCTAATCTATAACAAATTCACTTTGCATTATTTGAGACAATATTTGGTATATATTTTTTTATTCCTAAATATGATTCCACGAAGTGAAATATATTTGTTTTATAATTATGTTTCTAATTCATACTAAATATAAGATTCTAATTCGCAGCTTAAGATGCCTGAAAAGCTCTCCCAATCAAACACTCCCTTCAGGGTGAAAAAAATTGTTTTAAAATGTTAAAAGTATATGCAATGTGTAATTTCCTGTAAAAACTTCAAATATCAATCATTCATCACCTTTAAAATAAGGATTAGTGAAATCGTTTGTATATCTGCAAAACGTTAATGCACAACGGAACTGAGGTCAATGTACAAACTAAAATTCTCCCTTCCAAATTTACAACCTTCTGTTTCTCCTTCATATCATGCCATCCGATCATTCAAAGTTGTTCAAATAATCACGTCATTGTTTTCAGACACAGTTACAGCAAGGCAAATCAGGAGGACAACACCCCAAAATGGAAAGGAACGAAAGAGCATCCCAAACCCCACTACAACCGCCAAAAATACACGAGAAAATCCAATATCTATTTTTGAGGACAAATAAGAGAGATTTTATATACACTTTTTCCACCTATATGATGTACCTTCAGAAAGAGAGCTGTCCTTCGAATTGTAGCATATATTTCATCCCCCATTCTCATTTTGAATCTCAAAAGAACAGGGATTAACAGAAATCACAGTCTTAGTTCCACTCTTTCATTTTCATTAGTTGTTTCAAAACACGGCCTGCAACTTAGAATCCAAACCTAGCCTTGCGGCAAAAAAGATGTAGGGAAAAAAGGATTAACAAGTTCTTTTTACGGCTTCACATAGCATCACGGCATTTTATCAACTTCGTTCACCATTCTTTATATAAAAAAGAATGTTCCAGACACCAGCACTCTTGCTTCCAAACATTAGACAACTTTCTAAACTGTTCTTAGTGCTGAGTGAGGATCTACAGAACCTAAAATGACCACGGTCGTGTCTGAACTGAAGTTTCAAACCAATTTCAAACCACCTGTACTTAAAGTAACAGGTTTAATGCCATAATCATCATCTTCGAGATCGCTGAAGGATATGTCTTCTTCATTTACTATGGGGTGAGTTGTTCCACCATATTCACCTAAATCAGAATCTTCCTCTGGCCACTCATCGTCATCTTCATCATAATCCTTAATAATAATTTGAGAGGGTCGACCACATTTCGGATCCTTGTTATCAGTTTTAATAATTGACTTTTCCTCAATAACAGACTTATCAGTGAGATGCGTTCCAGATGTTTCAACCATGTATTTATCAGTCTCATAATCTGTCCTCACGGAAAAAGAGGTTGTTCTATATCCATATGTCTGATTAGGCATGTCATCAGAATAAGCATCATCTAATAGGCTGGGAGTTAATTCATTGTACCGTGCGTTGTCTTTTGGGTAGGAAGCACTTCTTCCAAAAATTTCAAAGTCAGGCTTTGTTTGTTTATGCAATTCCTGCATCCACAATGCTCTGGCTGCCGTGATCTGCAAGTGTTAAAACTAAGACATCGGAAAAGTTCATGTACCTATTAAGGTAGATATGATACTAGGTGAATCTAGAAGTGCACGTAAACATTAGATATAAACATTAGAAACCAATCTTCTGATGATAACTAAACCAACCAAAGCAAAGGCACACTTAAATAAATAAACAAAATTTTCTTCATAGGGAACAGTGATAGATCCAACTTACTCCAATTTCAAACTACATTATTTCAAAATAGTTATAGACATTTAAAGCTGAAAGAAGAAACGGCTTCGCAAATTAAATTATTAACCATCCAATCATAATGCAAAACTATAAAATTTATGCTCGCCTTATATATAAAAAGGTATGCTTTTCTTCTCAAGACTTACTGTTTGTCTATTTTTTAAATGAGATATAATATTTGAAGAATGCTGATTATAAGAACTTATTTATCGTAAACAATGTCAATATCAATAGTACGCGTCATTAAGATTTAGTACAGACAAAAGGATTACACATTTACAACATAAATAATAATATATTTGGCATAATAGAGAAGCACTAGTGAAAGAAAAGTGCATTAGAATTTAGTAATCTTCCTTGCCTAAAGAATCAAAGATTGCTAAATATCTTCTACAAAATGAGAATAAAACTCAGAATAAATAGATTTTACAACATCGAGCGCATAACAAATAGATTTTGGCTTATTAATGTCCAAAGAGAAAACGGAAAGACAAATGGACAGGTAAGGAGAATATATTTTGAAACCCAAAGAAATCTCCTACAAGTTTTGATTGGATGAACTTCTTCATAAGGACTTATAAGAGAAAAAAATAATTGAAATTATCTTTTCCATAGACTAATTTATAAAAGTTCTCTCACCTAGTTTTCTAAATTTTAATATTTAACTTGTGCATAAGCTAATTTTAACTTATGGAGAAGTTCGTTGAATTATTTATCTCTCCTAGAAGTTATTATAAAGAAATCGTCTGCAAAGTTCGTAAGTGACAAGGATTTAAATATCCTGTACATTATCATTGACAAGCCAGAATTCAAAGGAAAAATCATTGCGAGTGTGATAGTTTCATCTTGATAAAAAAATTTCAAAATCAGAAAGCACAGACTCTACCAATTCCACACGTATAAAGTTGGGAACTGAGCAGCATGAAGGAAGGAAATAAATGCAACAGTCCGGTAGCTTTTGGACTCCATATCATTAACCTGATTTATTACTTCCATTGATTACTTATATTTTACAACTATTCACACGCCAAAACATTCCCCAGTTAATCACAATGGATGATTGGCCATTTTTATCTGGTAATTTAATTCCAAAGTATAAGCCCACTAGGTAACTTTGAAAACCATGGACATGAAAGTTTAAAGCAAAAGCCCATGTAACTGACCTGGGTTGTAGACAAAACCCCTGCATCTTCTTTGTTAAGCCTTGAATGCAATAGTACAAAATACACTTTCCAGAAATAGCTTTCACTCATATGGCAAGGGCATAGTTCAATTCTGAGCGCAGCTAATCTAGGAGTTAATCTTTCAACAACCGCTGCATGCTCTTTTTGTGCATCAGACATATCAAAATCTACAAGTAGAATTCACCTCGTCAAAATCTCAACAACATGAAAGGAATGAGTAAAAGAATCCAATTAAATCTCATACTGTCATGACATTATTATCTGAATTACGAAGACATTTAACATGTATCATACGGTGTAACTAACGGTCACGAGCTACCGATCTATTTACAACTACAACTACAAGAGCCAGTTAAAATTTCAATGTCCATTAATCGTGCTGTGATCTGATCCAATTAAAAACAGCGTTTATCTCTAGTGAGTGTCTGCATGAATTTACCGTCGGTGTCGTCTTCTTCATCAATAGGAAAATCCAACCACGTCTCGGGATGCATAGCGATGTTCATCGCGAAGGCCAAGACCTCCTCCGTGATTCCAACAGCGCCTTGTTCTGGACCGCAATCCCCTTCCGAATCGGATCCCAACGAAACTGAATTAGAGCGATTGGAAACGGCAGCCTCGTCCAATTGCGGTTCTTCGTTCGGAGAAAAAGAGCGATGTTTGAATTGATTGGAGATACACGAAGAGGGATCGGATTGAGTATGAGCAAGAGAAAGAGAATGAGAATGAGAATCCGTTGACGGCGGAGTGAGGAAGGATGCCATTCCCCAAAATTGGCGAGTCAGGGTTTGCTTGATTTCGTCGAGGTCTTCTTTGACTCCACGCCCTTCCGTTTCTTCGTCTTCTTCTTCTTCTGATTCTGATCCGAATTCATTTTCTCGTGCTTGCGGCTGCAGGGGGTCTCTCAATGACGTGGTAGGTGGATCGAGTACGGTGTCGTTTTCGTGATCTCCGTCGCCATCGAGTCGGAGAGAATTTCCGAAGGAGCGAGCCAACCATGCCATTTTCTATTTTTCAAAAATATGAAAAAAAAAAATGGTGAATCGGAGATTGTGACCTGTGAAAAAGGTTTATGGTTTCGAATTTTTTGATCGCAAGAGGGTG